CCTGGGGGGAAATTTTGGAGAAAGGGGGGGGTCGCGACAGGGTCCGTGGGCCGGTGAACCCGGCCGGTGAATCCCAGCACACCGGGAAGGGCAGAGTTTCCCCCGAAATGACCTGGCGGGGACCAGCTGGCCCAAACCCGGACCCTGACCCACCTCGCCGGCCCCAGCCCCCAGCAGGGCACCCTGGAGACCCAAACCCAAGTCCTCCTGCCACCATGTCGTCGTCCCCCCCCTCTTAGGCAGGACGGCGGCTTTTCCCCGCTGGCACCCCCGGGCCGGGCTGGGGGGACCCCAGTCACGGGTGGCCGTGGGGAGCTGCCCTCGGAGGAGCGGGGCAGTGGGTCCTGGCCCCTCGCATGGGGGTTCAATGAGGGATGCCTCCCTCCTCTCTCCCGGAGGGACCCCGGGGGTGGGGGGGACGGAAAGCCCGGCGCTGCGCGGGTGCGGAGGAGCGCGGCAACCCGCCTACGCCGCATCCATCACCCAGCCGCGACCTGCCGCCGGGAGCCATAAATCCCAATCAATTACCTACGGGACACACCGCCGCCCACCGCGGTTTAGCGGCCCGGGCGGTGGTTTTTAATCACCGAGGAGACCGGCGAACCGAGAAGGGATGCGCTACCTGCGCCGGGCTCCCCGCTCCGCGCCCCTCCGCGCCGCGGCGCGGACAAAGGCGGGTGGGAGCGGCCCCCGCCGGCTCGTCCCATCGCCCGGCCCCGCCGCCACGGGGAGAGCCGTCTCCCGGGGGGCCAGAGGCGACGGGGATGGCTCCCGGGGCGACGGCGGGGGTGTCGTCCCCGGGGCCGCGGCTCCGGTGAGCGCCGGCAGCGCCGGTCCCGCCGGCTCCCGCGGCCCCTCGACGCCCTCCGTCCCTGCCCTGTTTACGTTTGAAAGTCCACCCGTTCTTCTATGTAACAGCAATATATATGTTAATTGAAAAGTTCTGAATTTAAAGAGGTTGTGACAAGTTATAATTTGTCTTGTCAATGTCTGGAATCCTTGTTTAGCTCTTTAGTTGTGTCTGCTGTTCGTGGCTGTCAGATAACAGCTTGCCTAACGCGCTGCCTTCCTCTCTTATGGCACGGAAATGACAAATGTGCTGTTTTATCCATACAATTTATTTCATTATTGTTGCCAGCACGAAGCATCACAATCAATCATAAGGAAGTCCAGTTGGCAGGTGTCAATCTTGGTATGTTTTTGTACGTCTCAGTCTATATTTAATCCAATTACAAGGGTCATGGAGTAAGTGCAAATCCCCTTGTTACAACTCACATCTTATTCAAGATTTAAAGTAAAAAGTCAACTTGATCACATGGGCGCTTTGGGGGACCTCCGATACCTTTTGATATGTCGTCCCCCCCTCCCAAATTATGCGGAGATAGCGTTTTATTAAAGAGTTATCGCGGGTCGGTTGGGGTTTGGGGATTTTTTTTTTTTCCTGAGTGTTTGTGTGCAAATGAAGTATCTTGTTATTTTGCTAAAGAAGAGGGAGGCTTTAATGATGGGAGATCTTTCCGCTCATTGCCCTTTCAAATACAATTGTAGATCGAACTCAGCCTTGTCACGTTGAGGAAAAGTGAATTTCTAACATCCAGGACGTGCCTGTCGACTTTCAGCGAATTGCATCCAATCACCCCCAGGGAATTCAGCTAATGTCTCAGTCTAAACCGGGATGAGGGGAGAAAAACAAATCAAACATTGTCCGGAGTCACGCTTATTATGAAAATGTTTTAAAGGATAGAGAGGGGAAATAATTCAAGACAGCCAGGAATAAAGTTTTAGACAAATTAATAGCATTAGGAGTCCTCGGGAAGGGGAAAAAAAAAAAAAAGAGAGAGAGAGAAAGCCCCGCTACAAAGTTAAAAGGTATAAAGAAATGATTTATAGCTATACGTTTCTTTTTTAAGCAAGAAGCTGCTGTGTTTTTTTTTAATCTTGAATATTTTTACCCTTTTAAAATTTTTTTTTGGATGAGAAAACAAGGTTACGGCATTGAAAATAATAGTCTTACACAGCCGGCTACAGTGGGATTCTTCACGAGAGGAAATGTTATCTTTCTGCTAAATTTCTGGCTTTAGGACGGTTCAGTTCACAGAAGTTTCTCGCAGCATCTTAAATTAAACACCACCACCCCACCCCACCCCCCACCCCCCAAAAAAAAAAGAAAAAACACACACACTCCGGCACAACAATCCCGCTTGTTACAACAAGTTTCCAGCTCGCCCGGGCTCACAAATTGGGGTGCCCCGGTGTCAGCCGGCTCAGCTCGCCCTTGGCTACTGCTCAGGAGATGGGTAGGTGCCACCGTTTACCAGGTTGCAGGAGAGCCTCGCAGGCTGCCATCCACACAACAGCATCTCAGCCCTTTACACGGCAACACACAACGAGCCATTTCAAGAATAACTCAGGTATTTTTTTTATTCGAAGAGATGGAGCTCTTCAGTTCCTATCAAACTGCGAGAGGGCTGAACCGACAGGACGAGAGGATTTAAAAAAAAAAAAAAAAACACCCACAAACCAACGACAAAAGAAAACAAGAGCAAAATTACATATCTGCACCAAGGTTTAAACGCAATCCTGGGGCAAAAGAGAAATGTTAGACAAGCAAAGAAACGTGTGGGGGGAATAAAAAGAAATTATTTAAATACACATACCTTGGACAAGGGCAAAATATCCCAGCTAAAACGCTAGTCAAGTGCCTCTTTCCTTGAAAGCCAAAAGCACGTTTCAATCGCAATATTTTCCCTGTTCTAGAGAGTTTCCTTTGGTTTTTACCGTTTATTGTAGCTAGTCTTGGACCCTGCAGCCTGCGCAATGCCACAGTAAACAAATTGTTCTGATGTGCTTATTATTATTGCTCAAGTTCTGCTTGGATAGAGAATTAAAGCTCATTATTACAGCGTGTGTTGAGAATTGCTCAATCTATGTGAACACGGGGGTTTGGGGCATCCTCGGGAAAAAAAAAAAAAAAAAAAAAAAAAAAAGAAGCAGCCACAACAAACCAACAACTTCGTATCGTGGTGTAAATCAAATATGTATAATGCTTATAAATTTGTAACACGTTGCCGTGCCCTTCCTTCCTCCTACCCCCTGCCCGTCGCGGCGGCGCCCGCACCGAGCCCGGCTCCCCTCCGCGCCCGCGGGGTTCCGCTCCGCGCAGCCCCGTGGAGCCTCCTCCCCTCCTCCGCGGCCCAGGTGAAGGCTGCGGCCTCGACGGCGACGGGCTCACAAAATAACGGGGACACACGAGGAGGCGGGGGCGGGAGGCTTTTCCCCCACCACCACCTCTGTTTTCCCGGCACCGCTCCCCGCCTGAGCCGCCCGTTCCGCGGCGGGGCGCGGAGTCTCCGGCGCTGCCTCGGATCATCGAGGGGGGAGACGGGGCTTGTCCCGGGGCATCCCGAGCCCGGGGTCCCACTGCCACCGAGAGCAGCGGTTGGCAGCTTTTTTTTTTAAATTTTTTTAATTTTCCTTTTTTAATTATTATTTTAATTTACTGGTTTTTTTTAAATTTATTTTATATTCTTTGGGTTTGGCCATCTCGCAGCCGACCACGGACTGTGCTCCCGGCGCTCCCCCACCTTCCAGCCTC